GAACTACTTAGACAAAATTAAATTAAACGTAATCTAGTCTTGTTTATTTTAACTATTTGCCGCTTTTTAAGTTAAATTTCAATTTCACTCAAAATTTCAGGGCTACGAAAATTAGAGAAAAATTATTTGACTGAAGTCAACCATCGAGATTCTTCATTTAAAAATTTTGATTTTTTAAATAAACGTAAGATTTAAAACAACAAAGGGAAAAATTTATTAAAAACCAATAAGTAATAAAAAACCTCGAAAACTCGAGAAACAGAGTTATTTCATCAAAACCAATTTCAGTCTCAAAAAGTTTTCCAGTCTGTTTCAATAAAATCTCTTGAGTTTCTAGCTCAAAAACGAGCTAAATTTTGACTCATTAGATTCAATTTTTTTTGTTCCACACAAGTGTGCTGCTATCGAATTAAAACTGTCATTTTGGCAACTGACATTCCAATCTTCCCCAATAAAAAATCTAAATGTTTTTTTAAGTGATTCAATGAACGTGAAACCACTCTGTCTTTTTCTATTGCAATTTCTTATCGTGTATTGTGCCCCTGACGGCGAACGCTCCAAAGAAGGCACTTGTGGTAAAAATGTGTCCCCTCAGAAGGCCACCAACATAGCTCAGAAGGCCGCTCAGGAGGCCAAAGCGGCCGAAGACGCCCAACAGCAAGCCGGCCAACAAGCCGCCCACCAGGTCAAAGAGCAGCTCGCCGAAAAGGCCATGGAGGCGTCGAAAGCCGCCGAAGCTGCGCTTGCAGGAAAGCAGGAACTTGTGGAGCAGCTGCACAAGGAGATCCAGGAGGCTGAAATTGTGGTTCAGGAGGAGCAGGCCAGTTTGCAGCAGTTGCAAGGCACGGCTCAGGCCTCGTCCAAAGCCCTGCAGGAGGCTCAGGCTGAGGTGAAGTTGCTGACAACTGCGTTGCAACTGGCGCAGGGGAATGAGGGGAATGAGGCGCAGACGCAGGATGGGGTGCAACAGCAGTTGAGCGAGAAGGAGCAGTTGATGGATGCGGCGACGACGAGGTTGGAGCAGTTGAAGAAGCAGTTGCAAGTTGCCAAAGCTGAGTTGAATAGCACCAAGGAGGCGGCGAGGAAGGCGGCGTCGGCCGCCAATGAGGCCAAACAGAATGTTATGAGGAATAGGAGGAAGATCTATAGGAAAAATGCGGAAATAAGGAAGAAATAGTGGACTGTATTTATTATTTCTATTCTATTTTATTAAACGATTTTTGTTTATTTTATTATGCAACTTGTTTTTGATTCGGAAATTGTTACTAAAGTGGAAATAAACGAAAATTTCAAATTTAGATTTGGTAAATTTG